GTAAGTGTTATGCAAAAAGCAAGGTTAAGTGTTAAAAATCAAGAGTGCACGGGGTTAAAGTGGTTACCAGTAGAACGCTGCAAGCCACCATAACGGTAAAGTAGCTCTAAAATCTCAACAAAACAACTCGAAAAATGATTTTCAATGCTTCTGCTGTAGAGGCAAAAATCACAAGGCATCGAAGTGCAAGTATTGTTCCAAGAACTGCAACACCTGCCATCGCAAGGATCATTCAACATCTATGTGTAGAGATAAAGAAAAATCATTGGTGAAGTTCCTGGAAAAAGACACGGCATCGATATTTGAATATGAAGGTGCACGTTATTGCCCATGTGACAAACGTAATTTTTGCTCAACGAACAGAAATGACAACGATTTCTGGTGTATGTTTAGTAGTTGAGAATCAGAACCGTTAATGCGTAGTAAAGCCGAACCTATGTAGTTGCCACTAGAAGTAAACGGTAACGAGATTTATTTTGAAATAGATACATGTCCTTACGAGACAGTAATTTCACAGAAAAAAAGGCGATTTATTTGGAAATGCAAAATTAGTCGAGCAAGTAAGAAATTTAAACGCGTATGATCATGTATGAGTGTAATGACACCGTTGGGTTCGTTTAAAAAATTTAATAGTAACGTTCAATAACATACATATCACTTTAAGCTGCTTTGTTTTTAAAGGCATGGGCCCACTGCTTATTGAAAGGCGTTGAAACATTTTTTAGAACATTTAATATTAAAGTCAGATTCACTTGAAAAATTAATCATAGGTAAATTCAAAATTTAATTTGGCAAAACACAAGGGTGTTTCAATAGTATGCTTCTAAATATTAACGTTAAAGAAGATACGAAGCCTGTGGCCTTGAGAGCCAGACACATTTCGTATACTACGAAGGAGCTGGTAGAGCAAGAAATTAACAATTCCAATGTTTTAGGGTATATCAAACGGAAATGTAAATGAATGGGCCGATTGGACTTATTGTTAAAAAAACGGTGCTATTAGAATTTGCGGTGATCTTAAACTTACTTAGAACCCACATATAATTCTTCATAGAAATTCATTGTCTGAAATTGGAGATATCTCCGCAGCAATGCAAGGAGACGATACATTTTAAGAATTGGATATGCCTCACGCATATGCGTAAATACCTGTAAAAAAATATTGTCAGAAATTTTTGACCATAACAAGTCATTAAGGTTTATTTATGAATACGGAAATGCCAGAAGGCGTGTTGACTTGTCCCGCTGAATTCCAAAAGATATTGAAAAATTGAATTAGAGGTATTCCGAACACGATCCCTTCTTTTGATAATATTAACGTAACGGATCAAAGTGACTTGGAACATATAAAGAAGTTGAGAGAAGTGTGTTTACAAATAGAGTAGGTGGGTCTAAGAATAAACAACGATAACCGCTCGTTTATGAAAGATAAATTTAATATACTTGGTCATGTTATGGACAGAAATGGTCTGCACAAATCGTACACGAAGGTTAAAGCCATTGTAGAAGCGCCGATGCCGGAAGATAAAAACAACTGCAATCTTGGTTAGGATTAGTTAATTTTTACGCAAAATTTATTACAAAATGCGCAGGAAACTCAAGCATTTTGTACACTTGCGCAAGTCAGGAGAAACTTACTTCAACAAAAGAATGCAAAAAACTGGTTAATTAGATAAGAAAAAAAAATAACCTTTCCAACAGTAATAGCTTACTATGACATAAATCAAGAGTTGATTTTATCATGCAATGCATCAGCCTATGGTCTGTCAGCAGCACTCTTTCATCGATATTCGCTGTGCGCCTATGTCAGGTAGTGCCGTTGAGTAAGAGAAATTTCCCCTTACTTAGATTGCCAGAATGCATGAAGTCCCATAGGAAAAGTGTTTAATAAATTGAAAAAAAAAAAATTCAACAATGGATTGACCAAATAAATCAGTGATTTAAGCGTGTCTTATGTTAGTGTATAGTAATAAATTTTGCTTGGTGTTGTCATGTGTACTACAAGATTGGAAAAAATCGAAACATGGATCATGACTGTAATAACACAGCATTTATTAGTGCATAGATGAGCTTGAGAAACATAAGTACTACTTACATTTATCTTTTTCTTACAACACAGTGTTTGAGAACTGTAAATAGTAATGACAGGTTAGGTTAACTTTTACACACTCATATTATGTTTCCAAGTATTACTTGTGGCTTTTTAGCTTTACACAAGTGTAAGGATGTATATGCAGTCATAAATGCTGTGTTATTATCGTCGCGATCAATGTTTTTATTTTTTCTAATCTTGTTAAGTGTAAGGATGTATATGTTATTGTATATGCAGTCATATATGCTGTGTTATTACCGTGGCAATCAATGTTTTTATTTTTTTCAATCTTGCACTCCACATGACAACACTTAACAAAATTTATTACTGTATACTTTTACAATACACGCTCTAATCACTTATTTATTTGGTCAATCCTTGTCTTTAAGACCGTAAGACACCGCCGCATACACAGATAATGCCGTGGCACTGGCCAGATACACCATGGAAGCGTATTTACATGGAATTCTTAGGAGATTTTTTGGTAATATATTCTAAGTAATCGTGTATGCGCATTAAAAATAGTCAGAAGCCGTAATGTTCAAATGTAAACAATAAAACTTAAAGTTCCATGGAAGTAATAAGCAAACTACTAGGTATTAAACATTTGTCCCCTTCCCCTTATTACCCAGCAACGGGAGTAGCAGAAAATTTGGTAGAAACATTTTTGGTAAAGACAACATTATCCAAACTGTTAAAGCGGGGACGAAGTTGGAGAAAGCGACTAACATATGCTTGTTTGATTATAGTAGCATACCGCACTGCACAACAGGTAGAATCTCAGCTTTCCTTATATACAAGCAGAAGCTTTACACGCGTTTTAATAAGTTGCGTCAAAATGCTGATGTTGCCGTTCTGGCTAAATAAAAAGCGCAGATTGCGAGTAGTAGTTGCTTTTAAAATTCGACGTTTAACGTAGGAGACACGGTGATAGCAAATAATTACAGTGTTGGTAAGAATAAACGAGTGCTGGCCAAGATTGTAAAGAAATTGATGCCATATACGTTCAAAGTAGTATTCAACAATAAAATACATGAGCGGCACTGTGACTAGCTGATAGAGTGTAAAGCTAGACATGTGATATGGCGTTCGAAGCAACGGCTTGAAAAAGAGCAAAAGAGTAATTCTCAAAGTGGTAGGAAGTGTGGTATATTTGAGCAAGCCAGCACGACGCTATTGTCAGGTGTAAGAAGTTATCAGTGTGCATACTGATTGTATAAGTATGGGGACTATCAGCTTTACAGCCAAATAGCGTACCCGCACTACGAGTTATCATTTCCATGGGCTTTCTTACAGGCAAGACGTGCCTAGGACAGCTCAGTACTTGTAACGTTGTACAATATACTTATTATAATTTACTGACGGCTAAGTATTCTTATGATACCTTTTCTGGCTCAACATTTTCTGCGTGATCCTTAACCTTGGAAACCTAGTACCAGAACATCACGCACTTGATGATAACTAAAATCTTAAAGACAAAGTTAAGTGATACAAGTGTGGTGCTAGTCAAGAGGCAAAAAATATGTACAGGAACACTTGCTTCGAAAATTCATTTTAAATCCTTCGAAAAAAAATTGGATCAACACTGTAAGCTATTAAGTTATAAGTATAGAATAGTTCCCATCTAGGCACAACACAAGACAATAGTTTAAGCCGAGACTTGGAAAAAAGACATAGCCTTCTTCCTGACTTGAGAAAAAGATATGGTTTTGTCCTCATGTGACAGAGTTGAGGGCTTTGTAAAGGATCACAAAAGTGCATGTTTTCTATCTGGATGGCAAAATATAATATAGTCTTTGCCTGTACTAAAAGAAGAGCATAATCTTTGTCTGGAACCAATAAAAAGCATTGTTGTCAACGAAACTAGAAAAAAGCCATAACTTTTTTCTTTAATGTCGAAAGGGCACAGTTTCTTCCCAGAGCCGAAGGGCGGAATGTTCGTCCACAGAGTTGATACATTAATAAGCTCAAAAAGGGTCACTCATACTATACTTAACAGATGCTGAATTTACATAAATACATTTTTTTCCAGAACCTTTTTTTTTATTACTACTAACATTATAAATAATAAATGTTACTGTGTAACCATGCCCTTGTGCAACAATACTTGATATATCCAACAAAAAGTTTTGTTACGCAGGGATTTAAAGTTTAGTTAACGGGGGTTGAATATCAATACCTCAGGTTTACTATGTTTTTCTAAGAATTTGGCTATATCTATGTCTAATTGTATATTTTAAAAAGTATTACGTATGTCATTATAGCACCTCTTTTACATGTGCATGTACAACAATTTGAGTCTTATATATATCCAAAGTATATTTATATCACGACAGCTTTTGAGTAACTTTTTTTTTAAATGTGTTTTTTCTTTAGTTATTTGACTTGATGACCAGAAAAAAGAAAATTTTTGTCTACACAACAGAGACACCAAAGTTGTTACAAACAAGTATTGTTTAAAATAAAGAAGTCATAGTTTGCCTTTTCATGATTCTTTCTCTTTTATTACAATACAAGAGCGGTCTCAAAGTTTGAGACTATTCTGGCATTGGATCATATAATACTTTTATCAATTTTGTCTTATAACACGAGACGTTATAACAAATGATCCTAAAAATTACCATTCATTTAATTATTGGTTAGATCGTTAGTTCCTGCATAGGTTAATTATGCTTCAATAACTTCGCCTACAGCAAGAATGTATTATTTTTGTATAACGATAGAACTTATGTCTAGCATGGAGGCCTAACAAAGAATCAGTTTGAAAGACAAAGGTTCCAGAAATATTATTGTCATATTATCTTTAATAGTCTTTATAAGATAAAGAACTTAGGCTTTTATGTAGGCATACTGTTAAAATTATTATAATCAGAATCGTTGGTAAAATTGCTGTAAGATGCTGACGTACCTTTCAGAAGAATCGTACTGAGATATTGTACATGCATTTGGATTTTCTTTTGTGAATGAAGATAATGGTTGTGTAGTTTCTCGTTGAGCTGTGTCACTCGCATTTACAGACATATTTTCAATTAAGGCTCCAATCGCACACGATGTATCGTAGGATTCTACCGATTCTTGGAGATCTTAAAAAAATGAAGTTAGAGATCATTCGTTTTTTACATTAATTTTTAAAAAAAGTTGCTAAAGAAATAATTTTTTTAATTTTTTAATAATATTGTCTTATAAA